GCGGCCGGAACAGCGCCACCGTCTGCTCCCACATCGCCTTCACGAACGAGTCCTCGCGGGACACTGTGTGGTCGTCGTCTACCAGCAGTTTTGTGATCTAAAAAAATAAATTAATTTAACTTAATAAAGTATCTAAAATAATATAGAAAGGCTTTATAACAAAGCTCAGATTACGATTTTACTGGTTTTGGTAAACCCTCCGCATCTATATGTCTTCTTTAAATTGTGAACCCTAACTTTACTTTCTGCCGTCGACCCTGCTGAGTCTATCTAGAGGGTCAACATGGATAACTTCGGGATTCCCTGCTCTATAACATAGGCAAAGAAAGTTGTCAAATACTCGAGTTATACCACAAATATTATTGAAGAAAACAGTAATTTCCACTTACAGGAAAGTTGCTGGGTGAATTTCCAGTGTTTACAGCGTATATCTTCTTCAAGACTTCCAGAGCTTGTTCAGTCTTTCCCCTAGAGACGAGGAACTTTGGGCTCTCGTGGAACAGCTGCAGCAGGCAGGCTGTAGCGGCGCAGGGTAAGGACATCACCAGGGCGAGGAGTCGCCAGGGTCGATACGTGATGCTCAAGAAGTCGATCCAGTAGACAAACTTGAGCGGCAGGATGGGGTAGGCAAACACTGAAAACAGGACATGTGATAGGTAGTTCCTAGAGTATTTTTAGTTAGGTTTATGAATTTTGATTTCGCTTAAATTTCAATTGATTTCTTGAAACAGTCTCAAGCAAGCCAATTATTGCATTAAAACTAGCAAATGCATAATTTAATCTGTGTAATGTTTACGTAAACCAGATGTTTGTATGTTTCCTAATATAAATTTTATACACTATGTATTTATTGTACGTCAGTACAGTGTAAACAGTTTTGTTTGTTAAATAAGTAATTGTTCGTATGGCGATGACGATGTACTTCGTGCATCATGTCAAGAAATGTAATTGTATTTTTTATTGCTTCTTTTCAAGTTTATAAAGTTGAAGTTTCTGAATATCTTGTCATAATCAGTAATAGCGTGTTATGTACGATTATACGTATGAATGTGGTTTTTTTTTTGTCAAACGGTGTTAACAAAGTCCTTCAAAAGGCATAATGTGTTTCACAATTATTGTATTGGCCGTATCATTCTTATGGCGGCACGAGGTTAGCTACTCGCTGATTATTTCCCTCTCACTGTATTTACACCCTACCTAAAATTGTATTTAGCGCTGACTAGTGAGATATACCGAGCCACCAAGATGTTTAAAGCCATTACATACCAGCGACAACCGCCTGCGAGCACATCAGGGAGCATGTACAGAGTAACATGGAACGACCGCGAGCACGCTCCGGGCAACTCTCTCCCAGTAGTGTGTATGCTCCCGAATTACTCGCAGATGTGCTGCAACAGAGTAATAAAATCAGACACAAATCAACTGAGATACTGCTTCAAGTAGGACCAAGATAGATGCAACAGAATATAGACATCAGGTAAGAGAGAACATGACAAAAATTTTTCATGAAAGTAAATGCAACCTTAAGTAGCTTCCTATCAATATGAAGTTCGATCGAAAGAGATAGCATTATGTATTACAGGCAGAAAAGACAAAAACATGCGATTATTCGCAATCATAAGGTAAATGTAACAAATATAGTGACAGTTATTAGACAATGGACATCCATTATCAATGTACTCCTGTAGGTCATGAACGTGACTCCTTTATCTCTATCGTCGTAAACTAGTTAAGCATATTTGCCTGCCGCGACTGTACAAGCGCTTATCTTATGCATTGTCTGGCTATTTGCACAAGAGACCTGTTACCTGGCTGTAAATATGCTATATTTATCACAGCTACCGTTACTTTTCGATTACAAATAGCAGTTCTAAATATAGTTTTGCGTATACGCTGGGTAATTTGCTAGTTATTTTAGTACTGCACTGTATGAAAGTTGTTATGTGGAATAGCATCAACTTTAAATGTTCAAGTTGTTTCGGAATGCGAATCGCGCTTTGCAGAACCGGTTTATGCACCTTCCATTTTCTTATATCGATGTGACAGGATTAGTTTTAGTTAGACTATGTAACTGTGAATTCAGCAAATAGTTCTTTTAACTGTAAAAATGTAGTTTGATCATATGAAAAATGTTCTTCACGAAATTTCGTTTTATGTAATCGTGATTCAGATACGAGATGAGTCACTAGAGTATTATCTTTGATAATGTACTTATGTCTTTTACAATCGTGTATCTCTTTAATATTCAAATCTATCGATACTTAACGTAAAGTATCAGATATGATTAATTATTTTATTTTTTGCAGTCATTTCAACAATTAAGTACTTATATTTTTATTTATAACATCTTTTACTATTAGAATCTGAAATGTTAGGAAAACTGTATTATTCCTAACATACGATATCTATACTATTATAATAAAGCGTAAACACACACTTCCTTGTTGCCTAAGATGTCAGCAATTATACAGCATATTTTCGAATAACTCTTTTTGTAATAAGAAGCCCTACACTTACGTCACGCTTTAGGCTATATATTTTCACGCCATTAAACTTAGGGGGTAAATATTTTAATAATTACATGCGGATGAAGCCGCACGAGACCAGCTAGTATTTAATAGTTGTAAACAAAAAAGTGTTTTTTGTAAGAAAACCGTTAAAGATAGATATATGCTATCGCGGACTTTTCTGTAGAACTTTTTGAGGTCTACAATTCTTTCATACATCATTTTTGTATACCTCTAACGGTTTAGGCAGCGTAAGCCGAGAAAAGAATAATACGAAATTTAGGATGTCTGGATGGAAATATGTTGAAAATTATATCCAGAACGGCTCAAAGAATACCGATGAAATTTAGCACAGACGTAGAACAATCTGGAAGCACACATAGGCTAGTAGTTTTGTTTTAATTTTTTCTTTTTAAATCGCACGCAAAATAGCAATAAATATGCACCTGCGAGGTGTGGACTTACAATGTAGATGATATAAGTTTGAGTACAGCCATGGTCTTCCAGTCCGGAGCGAAGCTGCTGAGAGCTGCGAAGACGAAGCCGACAGACATGGACAGCACTAACGTTAGCCTGCGGCCTTTTGTGTCAGAGATGTAACCCCATAACTGCGCGCCTGCCACCACGCCTGCGGATAGTAGACATTTCATAGTTTTGTACACACTCTTGGATATCTGGGAACTTTAAGAGCACCTTTGACACCTTTAACTAACCTAACCCACGACTGTTTAGTTGCACTTTAATTTCTATGAAAACTCATATGAAACCATATGGAGATGAAGTAGTGTACTTGATTTTTAGTCGTACAACTAAACAGTTCAATTAGAAACAATTGACAATCGCACAACCGTTGTTTGATAGCCTAGTCAAAGATGTGCGCCCGCTCTTAATTCAAAACAAATGACGTTGGTATGAATTTTGCAGGACTTTTGTAACGGAGGACGTTGCTTCAATATCAAGTCTCACCAACAAGCGGCATTGCGGTAAGCAGCGCTCTCTGTTGCATGGTAAGCTGGAGGTCGCAGACGGCGGCGGCAACAACGAAGCTGGTGCCGAACAGGTCCATGCCCATCGCCTGCAGTGTCCAGCTGCATATCAGCAGCAATCCGAAGTTGTACCTTCCGAAACCTGCAACGGTTGTTAGGACTTCAGAACTTATTGTATTACAAAATTTAAAAGCATTTTCTTATGAAGGAGCTAGACTCTACCCTAGGCTAGACATTACTAGGTCTTTGTCAACCACCGAGGGGTTTAGTGGGTATGCCCCCCATTATGTGGGAGAGTCCCACATAACTACTGCGTCCCCCTGGGCGCGGAGTATGCGTAAGATGCATTCCCCTCTTATAAAAAAGGTCTTAGTCAACCATAGTAGGCTAGTGCTGACTGTATATGCACCACTTTATAATATAAAAATATACAACCGAATTAGATTTTGAGATAATTGTAGGGAGTTGTTGTTTAATGAAACATTATTTCAATTTCAATTCCATTTATTGGAATTCAAATTTTCAATAATTTTAACGTCAAGAAATGACACATAACAGATAATGACCAGTGTTAGTGTAATATGCTACACGGCGAACATTCCTCTAGTCACTACGTAGTATTCACAAACCAGCGAAAAATGATCCACTCCATGCGAATGTATCTCATAATATTACACCGCGTAACATCGGTCAGTACCGAGTGTAAGGTGCAAGATAAATTCAGTTATAAAGCTTATATAATAATAAATATTAACTAACGCTGTAAAAAGCGGTATTAAGATGTTTGTACACGCAGCGATAGTAAGGTCCTTGGCAATGGACTGGAACAGATGTGACCTCAAAGATTAGATTACAGATAATAAATATTTTAGTAGGACCATTACTTCTTTCTTTTGGACTATCATAGCAGACGAAGGGAATTTCAGCTTATTTTTCCTTGCTTAAACTAGAGCGGGAGTACACCTTTGATTAAACTATCGCATGAATTGTTATGCGGTAGTCAATTGTTTCGCAGCAAATTCAACTGTTTAGTTGCACAACTAAAAATCGAATAGTGTGAGCGCCTTCATATAAGCCCATAGGAATCAAAGCGAAACTAAACAGTTGTGCGATAGTTTAGTTTTAGGTGTACCCACGCTGTTGCTACTCAAACAATCATCATCTCCCGTTGGGTCGGCGCACCGGGTTTTCGTCCTCCAAAGCACTCTATCATCCGTTATCTCAGTCATCACTCCCTTCTTGATAATGTCACCTTTCACGCAATCCATCCATCTCTTTCTAGGTCTACCTCTACCGATGTACCCCTCCACATTCATAACTAACATCCTTCTTGTTACATGCGATTCATCCCTTCTCATAACATGCCCATATCACTCTAACCTTTTACTCCTTATTTTCTCAACGACTGGGGCTACTCTCAAACTTTCTCTAATGTACTCATTTCGTATCTTATCCAATCGTGTTACCCCACACATCCATCTTAACATTCGCATTTCCGCCACATGTATTCTAATACTACTTAACTGCTACTTGCTACTCAAAAACAAAGCAAAAAACTAATATTTCCCATAACATTTATAGTCTGCTGTATAAATAATGGCCCTATTACTTAAGTTTAGTGTAAAATTAACTGCAGTTACTAACCTGTTGCCGTTAAAGCCTCTTCTATGTTTCCCGCGTCCAAAGACTTCGATTTCTCATTGTCGAAGGATTTGTGGTTCCTTTCTTTGAGACCCATTTTGCACATGCAATAACCTAAAAAAATACTTCATTATCAAATTAAGACAATTCAAAGTTTAATAGTAATTCTTAACGTAGTTATTTTATAGATATGACGGCTGATAGAGATGTACGGAAGAGCATCAAATACTGTGCCGACCCTCGTAAGGGATAAGGGCAAGTTGATGATGATGATGAACGTAGTTATTTAAGTAGTAGTATAATGATTAAGTTACTTATTACACCTTGAATTATTAGGTCATAATTCAAAAATTGTCTATTGATAGCCTCAAAACCATCAATAACTCAATCAGTCAATATAATTAAAGAGCTTTCGCCCGCGACTCCGTCCGCGCGTAATAAAAAGAAACAAAAGCAAGTAGCCTATGTGTTCTTCCAGACTATCCTCTATATCTATGCCAAATTTCATCGAGATCCCTTCAGCCGTTTAGGCTACAAACTCTAAGAAACATCCATCCATCTAAACTTTCGCATTTATAATATTAGTAGGAAGTAAGATTAGTAATATTGTATTTTTTTTAAATTAACATAGAGCTTATGATTTTGTAAAATGTTTCATTACATGTCAGTAGAAATTCACGAGTGGAGTACTGAACTTGACTACTGATATAGTACTTTTCAAAGTACCGGCGAATTATTTTGTTTACTATGCCTCGTCTAAATAATCTTAAATGCCTGTGGTACATACTAACCGACGTTACGAGGTGTAATGTACACGACAAGCACTCATGCAGTCAGTCGTATGGGAAACTATCGAACAACGAACCCCTCGACGCGAACGTTACATCTCTTAACATAGTACCGAGTAAAGTCGGTCAATAAATTTTACAGTATGATTATTAGTTGATGGCTTTTAAATAATAAATTTATCCTTAATAATAAACAAAATAAATGTAAACACTATTTAATATTGTATTTAAAGTAAATGTAATATTTGAAATACGTGGTATTTTATCAACAAGGCTGTACCTTCAATTAAAATTATAAGTCGAGGCAGGCTTGACTAGATTTGTGTCAAGTTTGGCGAGCTAGCCACCTATTGCATACTCGAGGATTCTTAAAGAGCAAACATATTGAATATTGTTGGAATTTTTCATATGGGAAAATTTTAGTATGGTTAATAATTAATAGATCTAAGAGAGACGACAAATTATATTTAACTAGCTGTTGCTTGCGACTTCGACTATGTTACTATAGCCTATGTAACTCACAGATAAATTACCTTTCTAATGGTAAAAGAATTTTTAAAATCAGCCCAGTAGTTTTTAAGTTATTTCAATACATACAAAAATACAAATGTTTCCTTTTTATAATCTTAGTATAGAAGTGAAGATACTTTTAAATTATGGTTGAATATAAATGTAAACCTAATTCTGTAATCCATTCCAAGTTATTGTATTGTGTACCTCACCTATTACTCTATTAAAACTTAAGTAAATTAAAAAATTATTAACTACTATAATTACCAATCAAATTAATTCTATTTTGATTTTATATAATTACTAGCTTTTGCCCGCGATTCCGTCCGCGTGAAATTAAAAAATAATATAAAACATAGCATATGTTACTCACTAATAATATAGCTTTTTAACGGTGAAAGAATTTTTGAAATTGGCCCAGTAATTTTAGAGTTATTTCATTACAATCAAACAAAGCTTTCCTCTTTATTATATTAGTACTAGATTTCGCCCGCGACTCCGTCCGCGTGGAATAAAAAAATAAGCAAGTGAGTAGTCTATGTGTTCTTCCAGACTATCCTCTACATCTATACCAAATTTCATCGCAATCCATTCAGCCTTTTAGGCTACAAACTCTAACAAACATCTATCCATCCATACATCCACCCATCTAAACGTTCACATTTATAATATTAACTAGTATGAAGTATGATTTCCTTTGACTAAACTATCGTACAATTGTGCGATAGTTGATTGTCGATTGTTTCGCAGCCAATCAACTGTTTAGTTGCACAACTAAAAATCGAGTAGTGTACCTCCATACACATAGGAATCAAAGCGCGACTAAACAGTTGTGCGTTAGTTTATGGTAGTCAAAGGTGCGCGCGCTTTGAATGAGATTGAAATAAGTGATTAAAATTATCAAATAAATTATTTAAACTGCCTCATATTAATATATTTTTTTTTGTTCCGAATATACGTTGAAGATGACACTCCTCACTGCCAGTCGTCAAGTTAAATTCTCCCTATAAAAATAATAAGTTTCCTTTTGTTGTAATTTTTTTAATCGATTTCTATAGATGAGGTTTGTGTTTGATTGTCTTTTATGAATATCGTAATAACATGTTCAGCCTTACCTTCTTATAAATAATTATTTCTATTTTATATGTTGAATTAAATGTATTCAGATGAATCCTGTGAAGTCCCAGGCGTCGCGGTGTACGTTTCGTTTCTCAATACATTTGTTTTGCGGAAAGTCTTCTCTTTTATATATCATGTGGTTTACGTCACTATCTATGAACGTCGTCATGGGAGGCGGTATATTATTTACAATGATCTGATGATGTTCCGTTTACATATGTATTTGTATCTCTCGAGTCTAAAATTAGCAAAGACAACCTTTAGATAAGGATGATTTAAAATGAAAATGGTCAACTGACATCTATACTATTATAATAAAGCGTAAACACACATTACTT